AGTTTCGAATTATTTATCTATACGTATTACGGTACGCTTTACTTTTTTGTAAGTAAAACTTTGCTAAAAAATACGTATACCGCATGAAACATGTCACAAACTTATAAATGTCAAATGATCAACTGATGATTACTAATTTCATTTCTTACCAGTTATCGTTACTTTTATAAATAAAAAAATGGATCAAGGCGCAAAAGAAGAAATACTCAAATATATGAAAGAAAATCTATCAAACATTTATTTCAAAACTTTAAGAGCTAACGAGGTCGAACAAAATGACGATGAAAAATTACGGATCATGCGTCAAACGCTGGATGATCCTGCTTTGTTTTTATCAAAATGGGGAAAGTTTCTCGAAAAAGAACAATTAATGAAGTTTGACAGACTTAGGGGTAATTTTTACTTCTTTTTAATACTTACAAGTAACTTTAATAATCATATATATTTAATAGATTGCTCTATAGAGTTATTTGTAGGGTGGGTTTATTGCTGTATTGCAAAATAATTTACAATTTTCATTTAATTATTTCAATATTATTATCGCTCCTCACATTTGCACAGATGATTATGAAGTAAATTGGCACTTAAATAACCTTCAGTCAAAAACCTCGTCCTCTTCAACATTGGCAGCTTCTCGTAACATTAATCCGACAGCTCGTCACAATAAACAAATTTTAAACAGAAGATATAAATATCTAATCACTAAGCTAGATGATACTTCATACTTTAGCGATGAGGCAATGGAACACAGAGAACCATTATTGTATGAGGATTATGTGGGGCAATATACTACACAAGAAGAACGGTATCCACCGTTTGCTGATAATGTGGATTTAGTTGATAGAATTTTGTACGATATTGGTTTGTATAAATCTTTGATAAATGGAGAAATTTTTAGTGATTTATTTGTTAATTCATAAGCTTATAATCAAATATTATATATTAAATAGATCAAAACTATATACATGATAGACTGGAACAAGAACGAAGAATTAGAGATGAACAATTTGAAGAGGAAGAGGATGAAGATGATGATTACGAGGAATTATCTTTGAAGGTCGACAGTGACTTAGGAATAACTAAAGACACTGATAAATTGTCAGTGCAAAAGGAGAACTACATGAACACGGAGAGTGATCAATCCAGTACAGCAATGATGGTTGATAGTTCACCGAGAGATGGTTCTGTTAATGCAGCAAATGATATTGAGGGTGGACAACAAAATTCTACAGACAAAAGCATACAAATATCAGATGAAGAAAAGAAACAGCTGAGGGCTGATCTTGTTGAGATTATGAGAGAAAAGTTTTTTTCTGGAAACGACGTAAGTTTTGTTATCCTGCTCGTTCACACTTTCTTTCGTGGTTATGCCAATTAATTTGCTATTTTTACGATAGCCAGATTTTGATTATGACGCAGTGGATTTTAATGAAGAGTACGATGACCTTGATATTGAAGAACAGGAAATTCATGGTACAAAGCTTTTAATCCTTGGTAAAATCTATGTAGTTCGCTCTTATTAATATAATATAATTGTTTATTTTTAGACAAGTACTTTGATACCGGTAGGAATTATATAAAGTATTTAAAATTTTATCCATGTTTGTTCACTTAAAATTAATTAATTAATTATTGTAGAAGATCCAGATTATCTAGATAACGGAACTGGCATTTTGGATTATTGATGTTATTCAGTGTGATTTTTGTAATTTATTTTATTTTTTTTGGTAAGTAACTTATTTTATTTTTTTATTTCTGATGCATTATACTTATTATACTTGTAAATACGTTCATAACGTCTTTTGTATATATGTTTTACATTAATTTTTTTATATTTGAGGATTTATTGGTTATATGTATTTTATTATTAGTGTAGTATTTATTATTTAGCATTGTAATTAGTTATTATATCATCGCCATTCTTTTATGATATTTAAAATATATTATATAAAGAAATACTAATTTAATTTTTTTTTTTTTCATAACTTTTATTAATATTTGTGGCAACTTAAACCGGTTCTTTTAGAATAATATCAAAAAGGAAATTATATAATTCCTGAACTCTACATACTGTACCATTACACATTTTTTGCTCATGATATCTAAATGAACTTTTAATGTGCTTTATGTAAATCGTTTATTACGACTGGACCAACAATGAGCATAAAGCTTTCATTCATCCGAGTGCGGTGGTGAAAAGTTCTGATATGGTCAAGCCATTGGCATTCGTGGGTGATTTTCTCTATAAGAATCTTTAGAGGATGGAGTTGGTAGATGAAAACGATTTAGAACTAACGGTAGTTTCGTCAAAGTTGATTGTGATGGAAAGAATTATCTGTAGCACTATTTATTATACTGAAAGTTAAAGAATTTAAGTTAATAGTTAAATTATTGTAGATTGGATTGGCCAGAAGTGTTTTGGACTTGGAAGTTTATGTTAGAGCCGAGAGTTAATATGTTTCATTTTCTAATTATTTTGGATAATTTAATTCATGTTTATGATCTGTTAAATAAGAGAACAATTCATATAAGAATATAAATTTTATTTATTGGTTCGGGTAAATTAGATTGATGTAACTCCTAATAAAGCATGTAAATTTTGAGATGAATAAAAAAATGTATCCGACTCCTTATATACTCATTTAAGAACTCTACTATTATCACTACCATTTATTTTACTTCACATAAATTTTTGCCCATCTTTTCGCCCTAAAATTGTTACGTACAGGACATCCTATAATCCCAAGCATACCGTGTTTACGCGCAATAACGCTCACCTGCGCGTTAATTTGAGTACGCGCATGTGTGTTATTTTAAGATAAAGGCTGATCAGCATTACTTTGATCCGATACGCGTCCTCAAATAACGCGTTATTCCACTCAAGTTATTTTTTAGGTTGTACAAATTTTCGAAATAACGCTCATGGGCGTTATTACGCACAAATACGGTAACTGGACATAATATAATTCTCCTCACCAAACTCATCGACGCGTATGTTTGTTCTAGTGGGTTACTGCGTTAGTGATTAGTAAGTAATTTGCGTCAATAATAATTGATTAATAGCCAGCCCAGCACAGACATGAATCTTCCCTCTATTATTCTTAAAAATATTTGTAATATAAAAGGATCGTATAACAACTAAAAGTGTAATCTTAGCCCATGGCAAGAGTGTGATCTAAAAGTTTTCAGAATGATAACTAAAATTATACTCTTAATCCATAGCGACATTATCTAAAAGATCACGAAAGCAACAAAATTTGTGGTAGATTTTTATACAGGAGCAAAGACTTAAATGATTGATTCGCTAAAATGCTTTTTTTGGAAAAAATCGACGAATTATCTAATTTATTTAATTTTTCACATCGTAGTATTACAAGTAGAAATATCAGTTTACTTGTTTAAGTTAATATTAAATCTTCCGGTGCCATATGCGCTGATCATGTGAGAGCATGTAGGACCATCTTTAATTGTACTATATTGGTAAGTGCATCATTGGACCATTATTATTAAAGTAACGTTAAAATTAAAATCAACTTTAACCGTCTTCTTTTGCAATGTCACAAGAAAATAAATCTCCCAATGGAAGAGCGATTATTCTCTCAGATAAAGCAAGACCTTTGGCAAATTATCCTCACGCTCGAGTCGCAGGAGGATTAATTTTTGTATCTGGTGTATCTTCACGAAAGCCCGATAATACGTAATAATTGATCATTTTGAACATTTATTTTTATTAATTAAAAAAGTTTCTAATAATATTTATTTAGATATGAAGGGGTAAGTTGGAAAGAATATGCCCAGTCGATTTTAAAATTAGAATTCAATGAATAGAAAATTGTTTTTAATAGGTAAAGGAGCTTCCTGGTGGAGCGTTAGAACTTGATATTAAAGCGCAAACAAAAGCTGTAATTGAAAACTTAGAGACAATCCTTAAAGAAGCTGGTGCATCATTAAAAAATATCATAGATTTGACAGTTTTCTTAGTGAACATGGATGATTATCCGGCCTTTAACGAAGTTTACAATACCTATTTTGAAGCACAAACTGGACCTGCTCGAACCACAGTGGCTGTTAAACAACTTCCTTCGGTAAGTTAAAAAAATATATATATTTACGTGCTTCGATCTGGGTCCACGCATAAAAAAAAATTAACTAATCTTTTATTATTATTATATAGCCTAAATTATTAATTGAGATTAAAGCAACGGCATTGGAACCTTAATAATCCAAAAACTTTATTTTCCTTGTATAGAATATATTGATCGTTAATAAATATATTTTCATATCAACTTTTAACCAATATTACTTGATAAGCAGTACCATAGTATCGTCTAGTACTTCATGTTACAGCAATTATTCAACGCAATACCTAATGGATGTTTTAAAATATTGAAAAAATTTTTGATCATAAAATTATGTTATAATGGTTGCTATTGTGTGTAAAGCTTATTATAAAGGCCACAGGTCAGTTTGTAATATCTTGTGTAAGAAATTGTAAAGTCTAAAAAAACAGCCGATTTTTTTTTGATTGTCAAGTATATTTATTGTAGTTATTTGAATTCTTTATAACTTAATAAAACGTATGGATTAGTTAAAATATTATTTATAAATTATTAATAATAAATAGTCTGATGGTATTTAGGTATGCCAATAAAAATCTGTTAATTTTCATAATTTAAATTTTAGAAAATAACCTTCTAATACGTATATCAAAAAGTTTTTAGAGTATTAGTATACTGTAAATAACGGTGCTAAAGAAAGCCTAAGTAACATTTTATTAATATATCTGTAATCTGAAATTTTGAAAAACTAGAATCTGATATGTGAAAGAAAAAGAAGACTTTATAAGGTAGTAACAAAAATTAGATAAGTTTTTGTCAAGAAAAGATAAAGCTATTAGACAGTATTATCATAGGATTTCTACAATAAAAATTTGCACAACTCTAGGTGTAGCTTTCTGATAATTTACAAACTATTAGCGTTAGTAAATTTAAAAAACTTGGAAATACAGCAGTAACGTCAATAGGTGGTGCTAATGTTTAGGGAAGGTAATGCTGACGCGATACGTTTAGTTTAGCTTCAATGAATATTCTCAATACGTTTCATAATTATAGTTGTTAGACGAAACCTTTTTCGCATGATGACGAAAGACCCCAAAGACGAAACCTCTGACGAAAATCGAAACCCCAAATTCTTCTGACGAAAGACGAATCCTTAACTTAAAATGACGAAACTTTACATTCAAAAAGATGAAACCCTCTCGCTAAAAAAAAAAACGAAACCAAATGTTATATTCATTGAATTAAATTCATAATTTATAGATCAGTATCCGAAATTACATGTATGCCAGCAAAAATAAACCAGTTCATTTTTCTGGACAATGCTAGGGCGATTAATAGTACTCATGGGAATAACACAAATAATGAATTAAAACATAGTAGCACAAAATAAATTTGTAGGATCACAAAATAAGCACCAAGCGATTTCTCACGTATAATAATATAGAATACTCATTTCTAACTCCCTTAAACAATTCAAGCGTAAAATTGGGTTGTTTATTTTTTTATACACATAACCTTCAATGATTTTCAACAAAATTTATTTGTATATTCGTCTTTTGTTAGTTTTGTCACCCTTTAAAGTTTCACCAGTTTCGTCACCTTCATCAGTTTCATCACCTTTCGTCAGTTTCGTCATTTCGTCATTTAAAATTTTAATTGACGAAAGACGAAACTAGGTTTCGCGTTTCGTCAGCGCGAAACCTCGAGGTTTCGTCTAACAACTATATTCATAATACGGTATGTATGATATATTCATTAACAAAGTTTCTATACATTATGACTATTTTTCTTAATCCTATTGCCTTTCACTTTCAATATTTAAAAGATAGTATAATCTTCGTGAAGTTTTATTTTATATACGGGTGACGCCAAAAGAAAACCTGTAAATCATGTCTTTGAATATTTACTTTTAATCAAAACATCTTAAACCAAGTAAACTGAACTCTTAAGATTTTAATATTATTTGAAATCGTCTCATTAAGACGATTCAAAATAATAAGTGCTCATCTACCAGTCCAAGATATTTTTATTAAAGTAAATATTTAAAGAACATGATTACCGGCGCCGCTAACATAAATTAATAAATATGTTATTTACTATTTAAAGTTAAGTCATAGACTGCCTTAACTGCTAAACTGTTTTCGACGTCAAAGGACTCAAATCACCCAAGCGGTTTGGAAACCATAAACATATAAAAGAAAAGCTAATATATATTTAAATATATGTAGTATAAACAAAAAAAAAGTACAATGAAACATGATACAAGAATAAACATATTTTTAACATTCAAACATTCAACGAATGTGATATGAAAATGTGGATAGCGTTAGCCTGATGATTGCAACTACCGTCTCAAAAATACACTACAAATCGCAAACATCTACTGAGTATTCTGTTAAATTTTTTGAATAAAGGGTCGGAAAACAAAGCTATTAAACATAACAGCATTTCGCTATGCCTAGAACTCAAGGCCAATCAGCAACCAACTGTAGTGAACTTGTATATGAAATCATTTCTGATTGTCGTGAATTTGTGTAAATACCTTGTGGATGTTGAATTATGCAGTTCTCAGTTGACTTCTCAATTTCATCAACTTGTTTATATAACTTAGCTAATTTATTACCGAC